TTCTTAGAACTGTTGGGCTATGCAAAAATAACAATAACTAGAATTTAATACCATCAACTGACGTGATACAGCTCACTTTGACTTTGAAGATGCCACCGGACAGGTTGTCGAAACGTCGGTCAGTCACTGTCGACAATAACAGTCCTATTCAGAAATTCGTTCACCAGACGATCATAGTCACCCTACTTATGAAATGGCTCATGGGTTCAAACCTTTCATAGCTTTATGTAAAAGGTGTCTGTTTCAAACAGATTTTAAAAGATTCATGAAAGGAAAGCAAGGAAATAAGTTATTGTTCCTGAGATTACCACTTGCTACACAATGGCGTTCCTTTGCCTTTGTTTCATTTTCTAAATACCTTTAATCGAGTACTTTTTAATATTTGTGACTGTAAAAACAGGAGCTATGTATTGTTGCCAAATTGCTTTAACAACATACCTTAAGCCCCAATATCCACCTCCAATAATCCCTTTGGTGATCATTTTGGTAATTCTCGTAACCTTTGTTCTTAATGGTAAATTGATACTGTTTCAGTTGAGGGAAAATTGATGTTGGACACTCGTATCATTTGTAGTGTTATTGAACAGATTTGTGTTTTTCTGCAGTTGATGGTTTTCTTTTCCTTTTACTTGGCACTGCTCTCTACAATCAGCTGTTGATAATCCCTCCTTTGATGCCTAAACCCGACCCACCACAACAGGTACATTTTGTGAATATTCACTGTTTGTTCTGAGATAATAGAGATCTTAGCCACTCACGACAACGGCGGCAGTAAGAACGGCAAATTGTTGGTTTGATAACATTTGCCAACAGATTTCGGAAATTCCGGGTGGCCAATGTATATGAAACACGAGTAAAAATGGTTCGTTCCAAAGCAAACTTTCCGTGATGAGCAACCGAACATCTGAAATAGTAGTCCTGTTTTTTTTTATTATTATTATTTTTATTTTTTGGTCGGAATGTTCCAAAGGGAAATTTATGTTCCATTTATTCAAACCTATCTTTGATACCAGCTTCAGGCTTTCGCGGCCTATTTTCGGAAAAGAGAACTGATCTGTACAAATAGTAAACACGATTACGAGGCGAAGCTTACCAGTCTAAACTGCTTTCCATTCAATCAAACCGTGAACCGACCGGTTTGCCCTTGTAAAATGGAAAACAACCAACAGCTCTGCACGTGCATCATCAAGCCTGCGAAAAATTCAGGCTTGAACGGGATTCGAACTCAAAACCTCTGCGAAACCAGTGAGTGCCGCTCTTACCACTGATCTATCAAGCTAAATGGGAGCTTTTTGCTTTGAGAGTTCGTTATATACGCACCCTGCGATCAGAGAGTCCTTTTGTCTTCTTGGTGAGGAGGAGAATAAACCGGGAGAATAAAAAAAAAGGTTCTACCTAAATCGCGTCGACCTCTTGCAGTCGCCGAAGCCAGAACTTCTGGACTGGTCAGTCTTGTTTTCTCTCGTTAAACTAGTCTGTTCCGAGTGTGAGCATCGGTTTATTGATAAACCGACGGTCGTCACTGAGCCCGCTCTACCAAGCGCAAGGCTAAAAGGGCCGGGTTCGAAACTGTACCCAAAAACAAAAATCTTTCTCGAGTACTCCAAATCGAGCAAGTGAACGGCTTTGCGGCTAGAGAGGTGTAATATACACGACGATGATGAAGATATGAAGGGTGGTATACGAAATTTTTTATTATTATTATTTGCGGAAGAGTGACAACGCATGAAAGAACATCGCGTTTATGTGTTTGGTTCGATTTTACCCTCCGTTTAGATTTTTATCTTCCTCTGCTCTGAACTCGTTATCATACATTTTCATTTCCCAAATCAACGTTAGGAAAATGAAATTTAAATCCAGCGTAGAATTGCACCACAAAAAACAACTTAAGCAGTACTTCCTCAATCTCTACCCAGCTTACACGTTTAAAAACTTAAAGAAAGAAGGTAGAGACTGAAACTTCTAAAATTTAATGTAAATACCGCTTCTTCTTCATGATTACTGCTTAAGAAAAAAGAATGGTTAAAGTTTCTTGATTTGTCTTCAGGTGGCTGCACCGGAGGAAGAAGATAACAATGCCACTTCAGGCTCAGCAGAACAAGAACCATTGTTAAGAGGGCGCACTGACCAGTCAGGATCTTACACTGGGGTAGTGTAATCACTTGACGTCTCCTATATAGGGTTTTGCGTGGACATGGCTTTAATGGGAAAGACTTCTTGGGACGTGCGTCCCGGGTGTTTTTGTTTTTGTTTTTACCATTTTTTGTTTTTGAAAAAAAAAAAATGAAATAAAAAAGCAAACAAAAGAAAGAGAACATTATATAAAATAGGATTTGCTTTAATAACTGACAGTTCTCAAAACTTGAAAAAAAAAAAAAAAAAAAAAAAAAAAAAAAAAAAAAAAAAAAAAAAAAAAAAAATCTACTAACTACCACCACAAAAAAAAAACAAAAATAGTATAAAATATTTTTATTAATATAATATTATTTTTTTATATAATATTCTCACTTATAATAAATAAAAAATAAAAAAAAAGAAAAAAAAAAATATAAAAAAAAAAATTTTCTTAAATAACAACAAGTACAAAAAAATTGAAAAAAAAAAAAAACGGAAACAGCAAGCGAGCGAGAAGCGAGAGTGGCCCTCACGTCCAGCAGCCGATTGCACTTTCAATGTGTGAAGAATGTTCGTATAAATATAAGGCCATAAATAGACTAAAAGTCTTCCTGTGAAAAAAAAAGGATGACTAAATATTTTTTCTATACTTCCCGTTTAAAAACCAAAAACTGGTGTATATCACTTTTACATTATGTAGTGCTATTTTTTAGACTGTACTGGCCTCTCAATGCAGGATACTTAACTGCACTGGACGTTTTGATTTTGAATTTTTTTTGCCTCTTTAGCGGCATACCTGTTTTGTTTGGTTGTTGTTATACTATTTTATTGAAAAAACAGCAAGATACAAGATATCGACCAATAAACTTCCTACAAAATGGGAAACTCTTTTTTACATTTTTTAAAGATCACAGCCAAGGGCCAAGGTGAAAGAGCGAATCATTTAGAAATATATATATTACACGAGGCATTAGGTTTTCCTATTCCACAATATAATAATTTCCCCAATTGAATATTAAAATAAATAATAACTATTTATTAAATTTGTATGGATTTCTGAAATAAGTTTATTGTTTCAAAAAGATATTTATTACGCTGTAGATGTCAAGACTCAGAATTAGACATTCTTTGGCTCTGATCTGTTAATGGAGTATTTTCCTAACTTTCAGTAGGGTATTTTTTTAGCGAATGTCTAGTAGGGTGTAATAATAAATCTTGTTTTTCCTAAACCCAATTCTTCCTTCTTTAATACCTTTATGTGATCTCTCAATAACCCTGTAAATATTATTATAAATCTATGGTTTCCAGGCCTGAAACTAATCCTAGGGCGCCTCTTTCAGGAGAAGGGGAAAAAAAGCAGTATCTGACAACGAAATTGAGTGTTTCGTTGTCCTTTGATTTGAGGATATCACCGAGACTCGAGGGAAAAAGAAATCATTTCTAAGGGCTAGTTTGTCAGAGCTACGTTCCTTGGATCTTAAATGCTGAATTTCGGCAAGTGCTCGTTATTTATTTTATTATTAAAAGTTAGGGGGAAAAAAGAGATAATACTCTCGGTCGTTTTGCGCCAAGGGAACCCCTGCGGTGAAGAAGCATCGTTCGACTGCCCGGATTCTGTTGCCCCAAGTTATGGAATATGACGTACTTTTAAGCATTTGTCCAATCTTTGAACAATATTGTTCGTTTGTTGTTTAAGTTTTGTTCGTGTATTGTCGTCTGAAGCTTGCATGAAAATCTCTCTTTACTGACACATTGATTTTCTTTCCTTTTTTGGATCTATGTAATTAATTTTTATAGCTTTTTAGATTGTTTCACGATCATTACTCCGTAAAGAAGTCAAAACGTGCTATTTGGTTATTTCTTTAATTGTTTAGCTCCTGCGTTTCGGTTTTTCATTTCGTTTTTTTTTATAAAATTCCCTTTATTTTTAATTTATTAAAAACAAGCAAACAAACAAATAAATATCATTTCTTATGCCTATTGGGTCGGACTTTGCTTTAAAATACCAGGAGTTCGGTTGTAAGGATGTAACTTTCTAAAAGGAACCAAGAAAGTTCATATTAAGTTTTATTGCATTATATTACTTACAAACTTGCGAGAGAACAAAGGCGTGCAACTGATTACAGCGTGTGACTAATGTACATGCATCTTTGTGGGTTTACAAAGGACGAAGTTATGGAATTTGTAGAAATGTTTTAATTAATGACGTGTATATACTTAACACTGAAATGGTTGATTGAGAATTTGCGACATAGTCTGTTTCATTTTCAATTACTTGTGGCATGGTTACGACTCTTGATAATTATTTACAAACTCTTATTTCTATTGTTCTATGAATAAACAATGATCTTTTTTTACATTAAAATATTTTACATAATTGTAGCGTAGAAGTGTCAGTCTTTATAATAGACCTTTTTACCGATACGGCGGCCATATTGAATTAATTCGATTTAAGGATTATCATAGGATGCCCAGGGGGCATGAGCACATTTCGTTTGTATTTTCGAGCGCTTTTCGGGACATTTTTTCCTAAAGTTTTCTTAGAATAAGATTCTAATGGGAAAAAAGATCCTTGCGTCGTGTTTGGATGTAATAATGATCGCCTTTTTCCAGAGAAATATACAGTGAAAGAGCATATTTCTAACACTAATCTAGAAAAAGACGATCATTATTACATCCAAACACGGCACAAGGATCTTTTTTCCCGTTACAATCTTATTCTAAGAAAACTTTAAGAAAAAATGTCCGGAAAAGCGCCCGAAGATACAAACGAAATGTGCTCATGTCCCCTGGGCATCCTATAATACTCCTTACATCGAATTAATTCAATATGGCCGCCGTATCGGTAAAAAGGTCTATTCTGAACTCGATTTTTTTCAGGAGCATTACTTTTCTATTTTATTGAACTCCAATTCCTCGTTGCTTGAGTTAAGCATGTTTTCGTTGGTGTTGTTACATTGTGTCTGGAATTCAATTCCCACCGTTTTTCTTGTTTGTGCGTCAGCTGCATCTGCTGTGGTATCTCCAAAGGAATTGAACATAACCATGGGGGCCAGAGAAGGAAAGACCGAGCTGGACCAGAGACGGTTAAGTTTGCGTCTGATCTCCCGCTTGAAATGCGCATGTCTGAAGGCATACAGGAAAGGATCCAATAGGGAGTTGATGTTCAGACACGTGACCGGCAACCACTGGCCAATGGCAATCTTGAAAACAGTGCTTTTAAAAGCATCGCCGTCAAAATCGAAGGGGTTGTTGTCGAGATTGGCAAAAATTGATACCACAAGGATCAGGAGTATTGGAATGGCAAAGAAAATAAAGTTTGTGAAAACCAAAACGGCGATCTTTTTTGCAAGCGACAGCTCTCGCTTGACACCGACCTGGTTACTGCTCTTTTTCACAAACCGGAAAAGTAGGATGTACAAGGGAAGAGTTGCCGAGTACAAGAGCAGTATGACAGTGAGAGACGTCACTAGAATCAAGGAGGAATCGGAATCAAACTGTTCGTCATAACTCAAAGGAGTGCAAGCCCGTTTGATATTGTAATGTAGACCTCCAACACCAAATATGGGCAAGATCGCAAAAGTAATTGCTATGCCCCACGCAAATGACAAAGAGATGTAAGCGCCCTTAGCGGTCATGCGCTTGGAAGGAGCCATACAGTAAACAACGGCGAGGTATCTTTCGAGTGTAAGAAGCAGTGCAATAGACACCGAGATAAGCTGCCCTGAGATGAAGATGGGTCCTGTGGAAGGTTGAAGCTCTTTTCCAGTCCACATTATTTCTTCTAAAATACCGTCGATGTTAGAGATGTTCGTGTATGCCACCCATATTGCGTAAATACCGATCAGCAAGTCGATAATTCCCGTATGACAGATTAAGATAAATGACGGCGTTTTACGCAGGGAACGGGATGCCAACACTATCAGGATAACTATTATGTTCAGAAGGATGGTGAAGGGACTAAGAAAGTACTCCAAGTAGAAAAGCTTTTGTGGTAAGGAGGTTCGCTTCTTGAAATATGGCATCACAACGTGTCGAAATTCACATTCCGATTGCCTCACGCACATACACTCTGGTAAAAACCGATGCTTTATAAACCTTTTCGGATCCTTCTTTCCAAATTCGAGGAACTTCATTTGGTCAAATTGTTCAAGGCATTGTTTAGCCTTTCGTTTGCGCTCTGACTCATCGACAAGATTTCGCGGATTTATGACTGTACAATTTGGACAAAATTTGCACCATGTAACTCCTTTAAGTTCTTTAAGTTTCGGAAGAGCCAGGATATTTTCATCTGGCACCCAGCTGATTGTTGCTGTGATGTCCAAGAGTTCAAGATTAGGCGTGTTAAGGGACTGGTTACCAGACCACCTTTCTATGTCGTTGAGACCAAGATTCCTAGAAAAAAAAATATAGCATATATTTTCTTATATATATAACTAAAGGAGATGTGTCACGAGATTTATCGAAATTCAAACATCGAGAGCGGCCACCAAACTGAGTGAAGCACAACAATAACCGCTCAAAACATTTGTAGGAATAAGAGGCAATAAACAACACAGTATATACAAAATAAGGCACGCATGGGCAAATTTGAAAAAGATTAAAACTTCAATATCTCTTTTAATTTCAGTTGTGGTGAGCACTTGCATGTCAGCGTGAGCTTAAATGTTTCTTAAAGTTCATGTTTGCTGTTTGTCACGTTTGATCTTTGTTTGACTCAGTGAAGCAAAGATTTTTGTCATTTGCTAGTAATTTCTTCGCTAGCGTCAAGTCCCACAGCGAAAAATGACGTGTAATTGGCAATTGCTTGTTTGAAGGTGACGTCACGGAGGCCATGTTGGTGGTCAAGAACAAAAGCATTTCTCTTCCCTGGAAAATAAAATATATTTTTATGTAAATTCTTCGAGAAACAATTTTTGTTGTATTGGCCCCCAACATGGCCGCCTTGTCACGTGGTTGCAAACCAAGAACACAAAATGAAATAGACAGCCGTGAGACAGCCCCTTTGAGATAACGCCCGTCTTTGGTGTAATCTTAAAACTGTCATTTTCTTTTTTGGTTTCATGTTGTGCGATCACAAGGCATGGAAGTTGAAAAAATTAATGGGATACCCGTTTTCTTACTACCAAGTTACACATGATACCAGCCACCGTTTTCTCCTCTTTCAATTATTGTCAGCGTCTAATGTGGATCAGTTATCGGAAAATTCAAGCTATAATTGCCAGGAAAGCGACTTTCAGGCCTCTGTAAATAAAGGTGTCATCAGTTGATTAACTAAATACTTACGACAAAATGAAATAAAACACTCACAAATATTTCAGTCGATTGAGTCCTCTGAAAAAATTGCTTTCCACTGATCTTATTGAGCTCCTTTGGATGGACCTGCATGGTAAAACCTTAGAATTGATATCAAATAAATTCCTTAAAAGCCATTAGTGTTTTGAATATGGCTTCCATATTTCTCTTGAATGCAACCAATGATGAAATGTTGCAGCTGCGTTTTCTTTGCTTTGTGTCACCTTGTCAAAAACCCGCAGTAGACTATCTTAAAGGGGGAGGGTGTATTGAGCAACTTGAGTTATTTCATGGGCTTCTTGTTGTGAGCTGTCTTGGACTTGGGCTACTAAAAGTACAACGACAACCAAACATTCAAAATTCTCTCCCAATATCTTTCTCAAATTCTTTTCACCTTAATTCAAAGTCTGCATCATTTTCAACTTTCTTTTTCAGTGTTCTCTTAAAAGCCAAACCCTTGTGCTGCTATAATCTTTTAGTCTCCATTTTATTTCACGTCAGTAAATTAAAATCATATCCAGAGGGGTTCTTTCTGAACTTTAGAAGCCTTTGACTTCCTAGTCTCCTCCACCACTCTCACAACTTATTTAGCAATCTGTGCAATCTGGTAATCTTAATTGTTTTACTCTTTGTTTTAATTTATGTAATAAACGTGCCTTAAGTAGGTAAGAAATAAATCATATAAGATTGAGGCAATGTTGTTATTAAGGGCCTGTTTACATGGAGATGGGGGACCCCAGATAGGTGAGGCAACATGTGGTGGGTCACCCCACCTATCATGTAAACGTGATCAAATTTAAATGAGAGATTATATGGACAGGCGGGTTACCCCACCTACCTGGGGGTGTAAACCGGCCCTAAGAAAGCAATTATTGGTGGTACTTGTAAATGAACACACTATTTAAGAGTTTATTTATAAATGCTCATAAATTCAATTTTTTTTCCGAATCGTTCCGTCTAATGGCTGAACATTGAATGTACCGTGAAGAACCTTCCGTTTAATGGCGCATTCTTATATATTTTTCACTGAATGAACGAACTAAGTCTCTGATCATAGAGCCCAAGTATACGCTTTGATAGCATCTTGTTTCTGATTAGATACTTACAGGTATTCAAGCGATGAAAAGTCCGCCAACGACCTCTCTGATGTAAGGTTGTTTAGCAAATTGTCATCTAATATTCTGTTATACAAAAAGGTTACACTAAGAATTAGTCTCATAAACAAAAACGCTTATGAAAAAATTTGTATTGGAGGTTCGCGATCGAGTGATCGTAATTTTGGCGTACGAATACCCATAAATTTGTCTCAAATCTCTTCAACCGCAAATTTTTGGAACGTTTGGATGTAACATTTGCCTTAACTATTATTTCCACCCCATTTACGTACTTTACCGTGCAATGGCCAATATTTCTAGAGTGAGAAGCATATAACCCCCTTCTATTATGCTTCTCACTGTATGTAGTTCCAAGTTGTTCTTTTCCGAAATACGCCTGTGAACGCAACCCTGTTTAAACCAAGAGACCTTACTTGATGAGCCTGATTTACCGCCAACGTTCACACTTTTTTTAAAGCTTCAGATCAAATATTGAAAGGGTAGTGTAAGGGGCTGCTCTTAAGGTCTCTCCTAATTGGTCGCAGGAAACAATGATATGCCATTCCTCCAATTGTTTAACATTGTTTTGGGTCAAGAAACGGACCATCGGTGACTTCGATTCACTTCCGAGGATCTACTACATTACGCAATTAAAACCCTGTTCAAGACTTAATATATAGTGATCAAATTATATACCCTTTTTAAGACTCAAGACCCTGAAAACCATATCATGTTCAGTGGCATATACCCGTTTTGACCAAATAAGGGAGTGCCTCTTTCCCAAAGCTCCTCCCCCAGAATCAGATCCGTTGACTTGTAAGTCGCTAGACTTTCACGTGGTTCAAATAGTTCTGACACGTTCTCTTTATAACATTTCTACCTACAGCTTTGTAATATTCTTGTACTTCTGGAATAACGCTGCAGGAATATGGGAAAAGCTGCTGTTTGATAAATCTCTGCAGAGTGAATTGAAAAAGAAAGTTGTTAAATAAATCTACAGTTCAGAACACTATCAAGATCTATCAATTGAAGAGATGTGTTAAAACAGATTACTGGATAGGAAATATCAATGGCGGATCCAAGGGAGGGGCCCAGGGGGCCCGGCCCCCCTTATTTTTAGACCAGAGTGAGGCCCGAAGGACCGAAAAACTTGAATTTTTTTACCCCCCCCCCCCCCCCCCCCCCAGAACTGGTGTTTTTATCCCACCCCAACACCAGAAAGCACAAAGAGGAAGAAAAAGGTGGGGGGGAAGGGTGGTTATCTCGGGGGGGGGCAGATCGAGGATAAAAAAAAAACAACCACACCCACACCGCCGCTGCGCACGATGTGAGCCCATGCCAGACACGTGGATACCCGTAACACGGGTAAGATGAGGAGGGAGTTCGTAACGAGAGACACAGAAACAAAAAACTTCTATTTTTTCGACCCCCCCCCCCCCCCTCCCTGACAACGAAGCTACAACGCCGCACCCAAAGAAGCCGGCCAAACCGCAAAAACCCCCAAAACTACCCCACGGGGCTCACCATAAAAAAAAAAATTTTTTAGGGGTTTTTTTTACCCCCCCCCCCCCCCCTTCATCTCAGGGTCTGGATGACTACCCCCAAGATTACCGTGAATACCGTAAAATTCCGAAAATAAGCCCCGGGGCTCATATTTTTAAAAAGGACATTTTTGAGGGGCTTATTTTAGGGGGGAGCTTATGTACGGAGGGAAATATGCGTTTCCAAATCGATTGGGCTAGCCTTTTTCATGGTAGGAAAGTTACCATTTTTACTTTGTTTTACTTTGTATTCGAGGGCAAATTCCAAGTGCAAGGGTGCTTATATTCGGAGGGGCGATTTAAGGAAGGGTTTTTTGCGTTACGATTTTGGCGGGCTTATTTTCGGAATTTTATGGTAGTTTCAACAAGCAATCAACCAGACAATGACAACTTAATATAGAAATCGAAACTAAGAATCAAAGATTGGCTTGTTGTGTTCGACGATAGGAGAATGCACCTTCTAATCTTTGGGAACTCTTGTAGTACTTAGAGGTAAGTGCGCATTACCCTCTTGATTACGTCAAGGTTCGATCAAGAAACTGGATGATTGATACAACTTGCAACTGTTGGCGCTGGGCTCCTGGAAATCTGATTTGTCTGATTTTCGCATCCAGTACAACAACCAAAAACTAACTTCTCGTAGGATCTGTTGATTGTGTATTTTACCAGGAGGTTTTTGCTTAGTAACTTCCGTGAGAATACAAGTTTATGTAAGTTTTATTAGATTCCCTAATCCAGCTTTTCCTAGGTTTTTGATTACTTTCACAGCAGTTTATTTTGTCAAACAAGAAAACCCGAGTTGAAATATCTCCTAAATCGGGAAAGGGTATTATATTACAATGTATTTCTCATGTGAATACTAAATCAGGTTTCGAAGCACAAATGCAAACCTGTAAAAAAGGTGGTCACTTACATAGAGAGCAAAACAAAGCTCATCCCTTTTTAATTTCAGTTAAAGCCAAGATAATTTCCTAACATCTGTCATTAGAGAATTACTTTCTTTGTTTAGTCGAGAGATCATTATGGCTCTTGGTTTAGTAAATTACCAGTAGACATCTGGTGGATTCACATAAATTATGTAGGTGGTAAAACGACTTTAAACACAGGTAGAAAGTAAAACACAAGAATACGAATTAGGACGAAGGGACGGAAAATCAATGATAAATTATAGTTGAACTAGCGATTTTTATGGATTACTGCACAACGTTCAACGGTAGTTAAAGGGGTGGATAACACCCACAGATATAGCGAACCGTTTCAAGCTTATTTTAAGTTCTTAGTTTTGATTCATTTCAAAGCGAAAAGGTGAAACTTGCATATAATTAAGTTCAAATGCAGACAAAATATTTCCGACTCGTTTAGTCAACCTCAACAACCTTACCAACCTTACTTTCTCGACTGGAAGAAACATCGATAAACATTGCGCAAAAAAACTAAAAAAGGAACTTTTTCACGACACTAGCCCATGCAGGAGACATTCAAAGCGAGTGCTCTGTTCACATGCGCCCACTAAGAGTATATAAATTATATGATCATTTTTTTTGCTTCAGTTTTTTTTTCTTCAGAGAACAGACTGGTAAAGATTAATGATGGCATGAAGGGAGGCAACTGTAAGCCTTCTGATATCGCGAGGAAAATTGCGCAAGCCTTTTCATTCAACTGGAGAAATTCTGGAGAGCGCTTCGTCTTGTTTTACATTGGTGTTGGCTAAGTGCTCTTCCCACTAAAATCCGCCAAAGAAAAGTCAAACTACTGTATCACACTGTAACATAGTTCACCAGGATGTTCTTCTACATAATATGGACTCAATAACTGAGCCAGCAAGTTGTAATTTTTAATTTAAAGAATCTGATTCTTATGCGAGCCATCTCAATGTACTTAGCGGGAAAAAGATATTCAACATTCTCACATAATGGGCTTTATTCTCAAAACCATACGAATTCGAAGACGAAAAAACACGAAACAACGGAGACATCATAGATACATGCGCTCAGTCAAATGAGATATGTACTTACAAACTGTAAACGTTAGGCGGTAGTTGAACATCAGTTTCCGTAATATTGTGTTTAGTAAAGCTGCATTGAGCGAATACTCTGCCTTCTTCGTCGAGCGAGCACTGGCACATCTTGACACATGACAAGTAGCTGGAGAAACTTGGTATGGGGTTGGAAAAAGATAACGGTATCATTAGGAGTAGAAACGGCTGAAAAAATGCCGCACGAAAAGTCGCCATCTTTACGTTTTCCTGAAAAAAAAGAAGTGCGTGCAATGAGGCATCGATCTGTCTGTATCTGCCAAGTGTTACCTTATATAACTAAAACCTGTTATTTATTTATTTATTATTGTCATCATCATTATAATTATTATTATCGGCTAAATGCTAAATCCAGAATTTCCGTTAACAAATGTCACCAAATAGGCGTTCGTGTTTTACTAGAGATTTTAATGGTGCAGTGCTCTACTTGCTACTGGCGTTAGGCTGCGATGCTTACCTGGAATTTTCTTGTGTTGGTGAAGATCCCGTCCGCACTTATGTCCGTATGTAACTAAAGAAGAATTATCCAATTGATCTTCCTAATTCCTTTTCTGTTTTTTTTTCTTTTTTTTCAGACGATAGCTGGCAATAAGTTTATGACAAAGGTGGGGATTTTGTGGTCAGCATTTGCTATTGTTGATACTGTCCGCTACTGTTGAATTGAACGGCGTTCTTAGCTTTTCTGATCTTCGAATGCCTCATCTTACGATAATTGCAGTCAGTATCCTGCATAATAACGTCATATTAGTTTACTTTTGGCTGGATATGCCAGTGCTGTTATTGAAAATCTACTAGCTAATTGATACAAGTTTCAAACACCTGCTACGACGCAGAGAATACATCTGTGAAATGATTTGTCTTTGACACGTTAAAATCATGCTCGTTAACATGAGATGTAACTTAGCAATTTACTAGTCCGCTCGCTCACTTTTTCTGAGCCGTGTCGACGGGTTTTCATTTCCCTAACTGCTCCCAGTCAAAAATTGAAAAAACCGTGGAAGAGTTTTCTTTTTAGAAACAAAGAATACTGTAAAACGATGCCTTTGACAGCTTAAGACAATCATGCTCGTTAACTATAATGAGGTGTAATTTAACTTCGATCGGTACGGTTCGTTAAACGTTCTTCGTGGCTTAATTGCAACTATTACTCTGGACCTAATACTTGATAAGAATAAAACAAATTGCTGATTTTTTATTGTACGTTTTCACAGTTGCTACTTTGTTAGCTGTCAATAGATTGCATCAAGGATTGAAGGCTACCCTAGTCTAGACAAATATATATATATTTTCAGTTCATACTTTTCCTCATAAAGACGAAATCCTATAAACTTCATAACTGTATTGATATATAAACTGTAAACTCGGTCGTTTTTTGACCGACAATTTATTTAACAACAAAACGAATTTTTTAAAAAACTAATTACGGCTACACTTCGCCTTAATTTAAATTCTACCCATCACCTTTGTCTTGGAAGAAAATAAACAAGCATGAACGTTCAAATTGAAAGGCGTGTTAGGATAAATATTATTTGAAAGAAGTAAACGTTGTCTAGAATTTTAATTATAATAAAAGATCTGGCCCAAGGTGTACAAAATGTGAATAACGCTATCCACTGGATAAAAAATCTCTATCCTGGTGGATAGCGCTATGGGTTTCCACAATACGTACCCGCTGGATAGTGATCCATATACAATTGATTCGTGCCTTCTAACGTTTGAACAGCTTGGGTCTGCATTCGATGGAATAATTCATGAAATACTGTGTTTTGCTATTACCTAGGACTCGTAATTAGTCTGTTTGTCTTTTCACTTTTCACAGCAAGAGATTCTAACACACGCAAAAAAGTTTCCCTGTTAGTGTATCGTTAGGGAATAGTCTGAGAGAAGGGAGGGGATGGATTAAGCAAGGTTGGATTGAGAATGAATAATAAATGAAATGATATGTGTGGAGAGAAAAACACAGAAAAAAATTCTGAGTTCCAGATGCATGGGAATTGAACCCACGACGACCTTCCGTACGCTAGTCGGATGCTCTAACCACTGAGCTACTGAGAACTCAGTGGTGAACAGGTCAATTGTGGGCTGACATAACTACCGCAAATGCTCTGAATTGAGAATGAATTGAGAATGAAATAAATAATGGTGGAAAAAAAGGTCTGACATTTAAGTTAACCAGTTCGTCCGGCCGCTTATGAACTCAGGGACTCAGGGCCGTATGTTCTTCAAATGCGACGAAATGGGTTAAAGTAGGGCTTTAACTGTCAAAACCACGCTTGTTTTCCTGGAATATATCTTTCACTTCTTCATAAATGAAGCTCTACCGGCTTCAAACAGAGTCAACCGGGCAAAAAAAGTGTTAAAGATGATTTTTAACGATGGAAGCTTTTCCTTTTTTCTTCTTTTTTTTTTTGGTCTTTTCGCTTTTTTTTTCTTAACACATTTTTATGTTTTGACGGACTTAAAATATACCGGTAGACTAATTGCAAGTTCATTATCAGCTTTCATTTCTAAAATACAGTAATTAGTAATCCACAAGTTAGCCTTAGGTACCCTTTGATTACCTGATTTCTAATTCTTGGTAAAATCCAAGATGGCGGCCAAGTTGGCGATCATACAAGCCTCCATCAGCGCCACCACTATTTTTAATAGCTAATCTTGTCGAGAAGATCAAAGGCTTCCTACTGAAGGTAAAATGTTTTCGAAATACTGCAACATATCAAAACCCTAGGGAGGGGTCACATTAACGGTCCCCGCCCCAGCCTACAGCACCCCTCGAAGTGGGGGTATTACTTTGCGTATAGGCCTGAGGTTTAACCAGACCCCGTTAAGACAAAATCATTCATTTTTGGTTTCCGTCACTTGAACTACCCTATTTTCTCTCCTGGTAGGTGGCATAATGCCCAGTCCCCGGGCCTCATTGTTCCGCGCGGTCTATGTCGCCTATGCGTTCCGGGCCGTGTTCCAAATGAGTTTGCCTCCCAGCAGTTCATCTCGGCTACTTCCGGTTCCCGAAGGCATTGACTGAGAAGCTCTGGGAAGACGCCATGCATGAAAAGGACAACGAGGCATTAACATCGAGAAGAAACACAACGAATTTTAAAAGGATTAAGCGACAAATCGCGTCTGTATTTACGTCTTAACATTACTTTAAATGAGCCCAATATAAAATCCAAAATAGGTAATAACAATGACAATGAAGGCCATTAATCGAGGTTTGTGTTTTGGGAGCCAAAGGAACAGGTATATTTACAGCATAAAACAAAAAGGGCAATTTTGGGTTTCATTTATTTTACCATAAAGTGAAATGTAAGATTTGAATGAGTGTCAGAGGTAGGAAACTATTCCAACCAAACAGATTTAAAACGAAACACGATTCCCGCTCTTTCCTTGAGTGAATGTACAATGCATGTAGCTTGCGTCCTGATTGGTTGTGTGACGTCTTGTAATAGACCATTTTCGATATATCAACATTCATACTTGGCTCATACTTTGGGGTAAAAACAAAAGAAATGCATTTTTCACTGCTGAGCTTCAAGATGATTTCTTTTGTTTTAATCCCCCAAGAAACGCAGCCAAGTATGAATTTTAATACGTCGGAATTGGTCTATTGGTACAATTTGGTACAAAAAATCTCAATTCAAGCTGATCTATCTAATTCACATTCACTGTCAACGGATCCATTATAGTCCTCTGAAATAAAAGGACGGACAAGCTTTTGTTTCGACGTAGTCTAAGGTCGAAGTTGTAAGTTATTTTGCGTCTTCTTAAGAAGTAACTTTTCTCCATCACTGCTTCTCTCTTCCAAGCTGTTTTTCATGAAAATTCCGACGTGATATTATCTTAGTTGAAGTTGTTCCTTTTTCTTTGAACGACTAAATAGTCAACGAGCACGGATCCAATTTTTTGGTACAGATCAGTGAGGAGGTGGAGGAGGCGGAAACCTTGGCGGCCCACCAGGAGGCATAGGACCTGAAAAAGAGAGATTTTGATGGAGTTGATTATGAGGATTTACACAAAAAATAAACACAGAAAAGAAGATCACGTGTAATATAACATAAAAGGGACCTTTGTATCGCCCCAATGCCATGTAAGGGAATCGGGATTCAGGAATCTGAGAAATATTTGCCTGTGGACTCAGAATCAGGGAAATTTTTCGTGTGGAGTCTTCAGAAATCTTGGGCTTTGGAATGCGGACTTCAGCTCTAGGAACTCAGATCTCACTAGCGATTGGGATACAGAATCCCAGTTCCACTGACAAAGAATCCGGAATCCAGTACCTGGAATCCGGAATCCGGAATCCGGAATCCATTGCATGGAATCCAGAATCCAAGATTCCCTTACATGGGGCCAAAATGTACATGTGTAAAATTAGAGCTTTGGTAGAAGCAACTTTCCAACGGTTTTTTTCTCCCTCTTACACAATCAAGCTTGCAAGCAAGCACTGTGCTTTATTGAGAGCAAGTTGTCAGACTATACTCACCTCCAGGCGGCATTCTGATAGGTGTCTGCATCAGCGGCTGGGGCCCGGAACTTAACAAACTTGGTATATTACCGGTAGGTGGTCCCATATCACGCATCATGGGTGGTCTACCACCAGGAGGAGGATGGAATGGCATAGGAGGTCTGGGTGGCATCCCGCCTTGGTCTGGGGGAGGACCATGGCCTAGCGGAGGCTGATGGAAAAAACATTTAAGTGAAAATGTTACAGATTACTGTCAAATCTTCACTAAAGTAGGTCCTCAGGAGCAAGTGCTCTCTGGATTTTCTGGGACAAGTACACTTTCTTGTTGGGCAAGTCAATTTTCAGGCTTAGGGGTATAGGATGGTTCCTTGAAAAACGTGGGTCTCAGAAAATTTTGGCCTGATCTCAAAATTTTAGAAGTGTTCTTGATGGGTCTCAAATCTCTTTTTTGGGTGATCTTGCATCTTAGAGAGTATCGATCTCAGTCTCGAATCTTGAAACCTGGGTCTCGCAGACTCGCAAAGTCTCAAATTTACCATTCTATACCCCTAAGCTTAACAGATGGACAAGGGCCAAGGCACGTCAGCTTTACAAACAATAAAGCGTACTATGCCAAGCATGCAACTCAACCCCATAGGCAAGCAAAAATAATGTAAGAGCTGGTTGTCCAAAGAGCCAGCCGGGACTCAAGTAGCTTTATGTCAAATATGAAACACAGTGTTACTAATACATCACAGGATCAAACATTGAGAAGAAATATGAAATTATGACGTGCAGAGGAGTAGTTTTGATGAATTTCGAGGAGTTTCATACATGTACATTATGTATTGTGACCAGAAATTTAGTGTAAAATGTCAAACATTTCTTCTGAAAAAAAATTATCTCAGAAACAAAAAAAAACTAAAATGCAAATAAAAAGATGATCTGTTTTCCAAACACTCATTTAACATTTAAGAATTTTCTTTAGGGCCTCAGGCAGATCATAGCATGTTGCCGCACTTGTTCCCAAAATTATTTTTTCCTCCCACACTGATAAAGCACCAAAGACTAACCCGATAACTTTTACATAATTATTTTGTACGTAACTCCCTCCCCTAGTTTCCCTCACAGCCACTTTTGTGTTGTCACACAACACTCCCTGGGAAGGATCATTGTGTGACAACAAACACAAAAACAGCTGTGTGTAGGAGACTCACCTGAGGTGGCATCATATTTGGAGGGGGTGGTGGTGGGAACTGCCCTCCCATGGGGGGAGGAGGTGGTGGCATTTGACCTGGTGGTGGTGGGGGAGGATGTTGATCAGGAGGCTGTCCAGGCGGNCATCACAGGATCAAACATTGAGAAGAAATATGAAATTATGACGTGCAGAGGAGTAGTTTTGATGAATTTCGAGGAGTTTCATACATGTACATTATGTATTGTGACCAGAAATTTAGTGTAAAATGTCAAACATTTCTTCTGAAAAAAAATTATCTCAGAAACAAAAAAAAACTAAAATGCAAATAAAAAGATGATCTGTTTTCCAAACACTCATTTAACATTTAAGAATTTTCTTTAGGGCCTCAGGCAGATCATAGCATGTTGCCGCACTTGTTCCCAAAATTATTTTTTCCTCCCACACTGATAAAGCACCAAAGACTAACCCGATAACTTTTACATAATTATTTTGTACGTAACTCCCTCCCCTAGTTTCCCTCACAGCCACTTTTGTGTTGTCACACAACACTCCCTGGGAAGGATCATTGTGTGACAACAAACACAAAAACAGCTGTGTGTAGGAGACTCACCTGAGGTGGCATCATATTTGGAGGGGGTGGTGGTGGGAACTGCCCTCCCATGGGGGGAGGAGGTGGTGGCATTTGACCTGGTGGTGGTGGGGGAGGATGTTGATCAGGAGGCTGTCCAGGCGGAGGCGGAATGCCAGGCATTCTGGGTGGAAACATTCCAGGTGGTGGAAAACCAGGTGGTGGCATCATTCCCGGAGGAGGCATACCTATGTGGTAAAAAGAAATAAAAAAGACCAATTTCAACATATTATTCCAATTCTTACTTGGCTGCAAGGCTTGGTGAAATAAAAGAAAAGAAATTACCTTGACGCTCAGCAATGAATAATATGTCTCTGTTTTATTTTATTTTATTCTTATTTTATTCTGTTTTATTTCTCCAGGCCTCGTACCCAATAAATTAAATGAAATTGGTCTATTATTGTTTTGATGGAAGTGTTATAGTTTTATGATAATCTAGCCAAAAATGCTTCAGTTACAATTCCAGAAAAAATCAAAGCAAATAATATTACAGCTCAATGTTCTGACTTACATTTTTTTTCTCTGGCAGAACACTGTATAGTACATTGTAAGTGTATAATAAATAAAATAAAGTAAAAAGTAGTGAACTGTTAAAAATAAAAGGGTTTTGTATACCAAAGCTAAAAACTACACAAAGAAAATTGACAGTTGACAGCTGTTACCTGGAGGAGGCATGCCTGGTGGAACAGGTGGCATTGGGGGTCCTGATACCGGCATAGGAGGCATACTGGGTACAGCACTGGGTACTGGTACTGTCATTACTGGAGGTGGCATAACAGCTGGGGGTGCTGGGGGTACAGCAGCTGCAACAGGAGTGGGTGGTGCATCTGCAAACAGCTGATGAGGTCGGTCTGCTTGAGCAAGAGGATTTTGAGCTGCCAAGAGACGCTCTGTTTAGAAAGCAAATATAATTGCAAATTAGAAATTACATGTACATGTAAACAGTAATACACCTCTCTTAGGGTAACAACATATCTGTATTGCCAGATTGAACAGGAAACCCAAATGGCAAGCTGCTGCTGGAGTTAACTACCCTGGAGCAGTCATGCAGGCCTGCCAAACCCCATTTCACTGATACTAATTTATTTCAACATACACTGTACATGCTAGTCCAACAAGTCACTCCATTGCATGTAGCTCAGGCCTATCAAAGAGTCCTATTGTCATGCCATGGAAACACTCATCAATTTTCATGCCGCTGGTGTGTAAATGAAATTTGAACAACTTATTGATACAATGATAAAACATGGCCTCAAAATAATGTCAAACCTCCATAATTATGCTTTGTATTTGCTGTGTATGTACTGTCCTACAGTGTGCTCAGAATAATATGAGAATATTATACTATACATGTGACTTTTAGAGATAAAATGAATCTAATAAATAATATATTATTACAATGTAATTTGTACACAGGTCAGGGGTGTAGCCAGCCATTTTTTTCCTTTTAAGCCGGAGTTGTAAAAGTCCTGAAAAAGCGGGGGAAGGGATGTTTAGGAGAAAGTAGTTAGCCAAGTTGAAACTGACCCCTTAAACAAAAATACAGCACAGCCCTTCCTAATTTTTCTTTAAAATGAGTAGCAGTGAGCTATCAATGAACAGCCTCTTTCAGTTCAAGACTATACTGTCATAGTCAACATCTTGGAGGAATATCGAACTGTGATAGGCCTTTTTGAATTCTTTACAAAGAACTCTGATACACTCATGTATATCTCTCAAGGTCAGTAGAGATGAGAGTACCTCTCTGAATGTCTGGCTTGTGAGCACTAGAGCTAGGGATCCAATCAGCTATTCTCTCAGTATCATGCAAATATTATAATGACTCTCCTTGACTGGCATTACTCTTGACTATTATTTTATCGTAGCTGTTATACTCAGCCTTATCCAATAATAATTTAACTTGCATTTTTTCAACCTTTAACATACACATGTCACACTGTACTATCAATTGAACATTGCAGATTTTTCTTCCTCTTTATTGGCCGAGAGCCCACCACATGACCTGCCAATAACTGCCTATAAAATTTATAGGCAGTTATTTAATAATGGTCTGCTCAGGAGCAATGTCACCCAACTTTGTTTGGCTGTGAGTAATATTCTGTTCATGCATAAATGAAAGCTTTTCTCCTTCTTGTGATCACTCTTGCATGAAAATGGCAGATTGCTTTGCTTCCAGAAGATATTCATTAAAAAAAAAAAACAATTTCAGTGATTGAATGATAAAACAATAGACTCGGCTAACACAATGTATTGTGATTTGTCACAGTCTCACAGCTCGTTAATTTTATTTGCCAAAGCTGAAGGCTGAAGCAAATAATTGATCTGCTTGCCATCGACAAATAATGATATTTTGCTCAACCTTGTCCAATAATAATTGTTAGTTATTTTATTAAAAGACACTTAAGTGTACAAGTTATTGACTGCTGCACATTATGATTGATTCACAAGTACCTGCTGCAGATCCATGCCTTTCTCCTTTAGACTCTTTCTTGAATGCGTAAGATATTGTGATTGGTCGATTGCACAAATACTGTCCGTTCATAGCCTCCATAGCTGCATCAGATGCCTCAAAACTTGCAAAGTTAATGAATGCAAAACCTTTGGAGTTGCCTGTTTCAGGATCACGCATTATCTAAAAAAGAAGACCACGTCTGGTGTAAACACTGTACATACACAGAGGATATTACATGGCTGCGTGGAGATACGCAATTTCATGAGTGAGCGCAGCGAATGAGAGAAAAATTTTTTCAACACAATAAAAGAAATTTCGTATCTCCAAGCAACCATGTAATGTTCTATTTATTATATAAACACCAATGAACTACCAAACCATATCACTTTAATAGTTTTTTGGTGTGAAAGGTGTGACTTATTATTTAGCCATAGCAATGGTGATATTTTCACATGTGAAGATAACATGTTATTTTCACATGTGAAGATATCAAGTTTTTGCGCAAAAGCTCACCTGGTAATTCATTGGTATTTATATAATAAATAAGTACAGTGTATTTCAGCTTTAGCTGGTCCAATCTGAACACTAACTTCATGGTGTGCACATCTGCTATGCACAGGAATTTGCTTTTAAACTGCTTTGCCTCCTTCAGGAAGTCAAAAAGTGGTCAAAACAAGTAAAGTTCCATACAAATGTAATTAGAGATGAGGAGGCCATACAGGACAAAACACATTTTTATGAGCCTTACAAAATAGATTTTAAAAAAAACAAAGATTTTTGCCTTTTTGGGCTTGGCAATTCTGTGAATTCATACACTGTATATCTGAAAAATTCAACTTAGGAGAGATGCAGTGATTTGAATGGTTGCCAGTGAGAGTTCTCAACAGTTATGCAAACCCTTGACTTTGTCCCGAGTTTGCATAACTGTCTCCAATTCTCCCAACTCCTGTCATGTTTACATCAGGCTACATGTACGCAAACATGGAAACTTTTTGTACTACTTAAATAACAATAGCAACATTAGCGATTTTGCTATCAATTTATTACAAGTTAAATAAAGTGTTTGATTGATCGATTGATTGATTGATTTTTATGGAACAAACTGCTGTATAAATAAATTAATGTTTTGGCATTTTATGAATAATCTTTAAATCTAGAAATCTGGTAAAAATAAAATAATAAAGCTCTATGCTGATTCCACTTCAGTGAGAAAACAATAGGCCATTTGTCGAGTCACAAAACCTCTTACTTTCTAAATGACGCTGCAGTAAAAATGAGTAATGATTGTTTGCATGAAAATTTAAAGATAAATCATGTCAAATCAATACATGTAGCTTCACAACTGACCACTCCAGAAAATACCATAACATACCATAATGCTCTTTGTTTGTCACCCCAAAATTTTGCATAAGCATTGTTTTCAGTTTCTCTTGGGGCCATTTTAACTCCCGAGAGAAACTTAAGACAATGCTTATGCAAAATTTTGTGTTGACAAACAAAGAGCATTATGGTATGTTATGGTATTTCTGGAGTGGTCAATTACATGTAGCCTCACTTTGAAACAAAGGATGGGGGTGACCATGGAAACAGCCTGGCTGCTATTATTACAGAGTAAGTTTGTACCAGGCAGTGAATATACACATTCTTTTATGCACTGACCAGAATACAATGAATCAAGTGCACCCCTTATTAAATTATCAAAAAATGACCAGTTGTTAGCTTTTAATTCAATTCATCCTGGGCTCAAGTTTATGTTTTTCAGTCGTATGGTTTTCCGTAATGTTAAAGTTCATTGTATGCAGTAAATTTAAAATGAATAAAACAGAGCTTCGCTTTTAGCTCTGGCTAAATCTGTTTAGTATATACTAAAACAGTGGATAGTGTTTTTCGCGCGCTCTGATTGGCTACTCAATCAATGAATATCCTGCACTATTCACTGATTCACCTCCAGTTCCTCCGAGCGAGCAACGCCAAACTCGCGTAAGTTGCGAGCAAAATGTCTTCTCGGTTTGCTGCCGTAAACAAACAAAGAAATTTCACAACTAATCAAGCAAGCTGTTTCCGAAATACACGAAGAAGGTGATGAAGTTCGGATTGGAAGTTTTAACAGGTAAAGCTTTGTCTTTTTGACACGAATTTATCGATAAAACCGGTGAAAAAGTTTTTGTTTACAAATGCAAATTAAGTTTAAGTCTTGCTTACTTTATTTAGTTGAGTTGTTCATAAATAAGCTTAAAACTAAATTTAATAATCTATTTTTATAGAATGATTTTAAATACAAAAAGAATTCACAACTCCTTTTGAAGAAATTTCCCCGCAAGAGCTAAACAAATGCCTTCAAAAGTTTTAATTGTCGGCAAGAAAAAGCGACTGCCGCAGCCCCCCGGTCATTACGCGCCAAAATTGTAATCGTTGGCAACAGTATTTGAGTTAAAAATCGTCATTTTTGTGCTCAACTATCTCACTGTTTTAGTATATACTAAAACAATTATTCACCTCAGTGTCGGTGGCTAGTCTTGGATATTTACCTCACTGCTTCGCAGTTCGGTAAATATTCACGACTAGCCACCTCCACTTCGGTGAATAATTGTTATATATTACCTGTCCAGGTAGAGTGAGTATAAACCTGATTTTATAAAGATGTGCACAGAGCCATTGTTTGGTGGTCAATCAAGCAATTCATTGCCATGAGATCTGTATGCCCAAATACTTAATGGCCAATATTATTGACAATGACCAATTGCCTAGAAGGAACCCATTTTTTTAATTAGGTATATATACTGTAGGTTTGATGGTACCTTTGGGGTTTGAAGGATCACTCCAAAAGCACTGAATGTGTCGTATAACAGCTTCTCATCAATTTCTGGATCAAGATTTCCAATGAAGATATTGGCACCAACATCAAGGTTCTTATTGTGTGCTGATGCCTGGAAACAAATCAGTTGAAAATTAAATATTTTACCTGATGAGTATAACACTCACAGTGATGGCCAAGGATGAGAAAAAAAATGATATCGAACTTAAGTACGGTTTCAGAGCATTTGGCCTTACATTTTTGTTTCTGATTTTCTAGGTCCAGTAGTTCGAATGCCAGATAGCGCTAACCCAGAGTTACATTTTAACATGACTTTCTTCTTCTTTTTATCAAAACACTCTCTTGGATAATTTTCTGTATTCTTTTTAGAGTATCCAATCATCAAATTCTAGGCAAAGAGAATTAAACTGGATTTGCCTCTTAAGCTCTCATATCTGAGTTCAAATTTCACACTAACTCTGGGTTATCTTAACACAGCTTTGAACCACCAGGCCCAGGGCAGCAGATAAATCCTGATAACTTCTCCAGGTGTGAACTCACATACAGCTTCAACAAGACACAGTGAAGAATGTCATAAAATCCTTGTTTGGCTGGTTTTGCTGAAAATTTGAGGTTTGACTTTGGGAGATTTACTCTTATACCATTTTCAAGCAGAATTCCTTTTGAATTGAAGGTACTTGATAGATTTAAAACAGAAAAAAATGATGAGACAAAGAATGGCTGTGGAGCAGACCAAAATATAACCAACTATTTTTTTAATATATTACATGTAGAACTGCTCTCCTGAGTGTTCCAAAGCAGCAGTCCCAGGAATCACACTGGAAGTTAACTTACAGTGCTAATGCTCATTTTTTGTCAAATAGACAAGAACAAAATGAGGCCATATACATTGCATTACACAGCCCTTGCACCTACAGTATTTGGCAATTACGTTGTTAGTATGAACTCGGCAGAAACACAATGTAATTATGTTCAATGAGGATAACATTTGTACCTTGTTCACTCTGATTGGTTTTCCATAAACTTTGATCATATTCATGACTTTAATGGCATAATCAGCATCCTCTTCACCAAGGAATTCAACAAATCCATAACCTTGATGAAGCTGTGTGATGCGATCTTTTGGCATGTGGACATTCACTGAAATAGAGAATTTAAGTACTCATTATGTTTGCATTAAACAAGTCACTAAAGAATATACCATACAGTTAAATTAAGTTTTAAATAGAATAATGTACCAGGGTTGTCACTAAGATTTCAAGTTGCCGGGTAAACACAACAAGTAGGCGGGGAATCAAACAGCTAGGGATTTCTTTTGGTTCTATTTTTCTTCTATTTCCAATAAAGGTAGCCGGGGACCACTGTCTTAGTAGCCGGGGAAAATCCCCGGCCCCCGGCTCTTAATGACAACCCTGAATGCACAAAGATTTTTTTTAATTGAGCAGCATTCTTTTCTGCACTTCCAACTTAACATGCAATTTTCTTAACACTCATTTAAAATAATAATTATTGTCGTTGAATGCATCAAGAGTATTATGTAAGTTTCCGCAGGTACCAGAGTTGTAACTCATTTCCTGATCATTAAAAAAGTGTATGAGAATTGTATTGCATGCATGCTATGGGTTAGGCAGGCTTTTTATTATTCACAAGTACACCCTCAAAACTTCCCCAGGGCCAAGTTGTTCAAAGCTGGGTTAAGATAACCCAGGGTTTATAGTTCGCAATTTGAATTCAGATGTGAAAGCTTAAAAAGCAAATTCAGTTTAATTCTTTTTGTCAGCAAATTTGACGATTAGCTACTCTAAAAAGAATAGAGAAAATAGTCTGAGAAAATGCTTTTGATGAAAAGTAAAAGGGACACGGGTTAAAATTTAACCCTGGGTTAATGCTAATCGGCCTTCGAACAACTGGGCCCAGGTCTTTGTTTTGCAGTGTATTTTTAACTCACCAACTGGCCCTGCTTGGAGAAATAGTTCCCAAAGAAGAGGTTCTGAAACTTTTTCATCCAGTCCTCCAACATATATTGTAGCATCTTAGAAACAACAAATCAGTCAACTTTACTGGAATGTTAGAATGAAAGATTACATACACATAATGCTTGGACACCTGAAAGTAGCCATAATAAGACTCTGTATGGGTATTTCCAATGAAATCAAAGTCCCAATGATTGCTATTAATGAACGATGATCTTTGACAACATAGTTGTGTGATGACAGCAAAGAAATCTGCCAAAAAGGGTGCTGCAGACTCAGAGTTTTGAGTTTCTCATAAAAACTGTTCCTTTTTTTTTCTATATCCTTGTTTCCATTCTCATCACTAGTAGTATTAAACGCAAGAAACAATTTTTAATATGCAGCAATTTCAATGAAAACAAAAGATGATTTGATGGAAAGGCGGGACAAAAATGACGAAAGCTCTGCATACATGTAAATTTCAACATTTTTCTAATGTTAACTGTTTTTTTTTAATTGGACGTGGATACCAGGTTGCTGGGTACATGTATCTAGTATTTTGAAAACAATGTCCAGCTGCCGGGTACCTAAACAGAGTGAAAAAACATTGGTAGTCTTAGCACCAGGCTGTCAAGTAAATTGAAACCCATCCTTGCTTATGACCGATTTAGCTGACTTGCGCTTTCTCCGGTTGGCATTCAAACTCAACTCGTCTCTCTTCTTTGTACTTCAGATGCGAACTGCTCCGCCGCTTTTGCGTTTCGGAATCCTCGAATTGGGTTAACATAAGGAATCAAGTAGCTTATCAGTTTTAAGGCCTCGGACAGGAACACGCTCTTTTGATTTACGACAAAAGAGCCACAGCGATACATCAAAATTTGTTTACGACTACAACTAATGTCGGTAATGAAAGCGCACCTCGCCTTCAATCGAGTAGCTTAGGTTACTTTGCCTCGCTTGTGTCTGAGTCGTTAAGTATTCGTACGAAAGAAAATACTTGACTTGAAACATTGGGATGTAGTGTAAAGACTACCATTATTTTACAAACCTTGATTTCTCTCAGCTATCGGGCCGGCCGCCATGCTGGATTTGCTACCATCCCAACGTTCCTTGCGCGTCTTTGTCGCCGCTGTCCAACAATACAGTAGAATTTCGATCGCTGATGTTTGACGCAGTAGGAGGGGTGAGGGGAGGAAAAGCAAATCGTCTCTAAAACGAAAAGACACTTGGACCAAAATTTCCAGAAAAATTTGGGTCCAAAACTCAAGGATCAGTTCGGTCCAACCGGAAAAATTTTCGAAAAAACTGGTCCACCTTTTGAGGTGGACCACTTTTCCCCGTCGGACCAGTCGGAACCGTTTTTGGTAGCCAGTTCCAGGCTCTCAGAGAGTGGGGAAGACGCGAAAGTAAAAGGCAGGCGAAAGGTTTGCGGGGCGAAAAAGAGGAAAAGGAAGCATTCTCTCCCCAGTTTCCTCCCGTTTTACTTTCGTCTTCGCGCTATAGTCTCAATTCAGCGGCCCCAACTATGGGACCGGTCATTATTTATCGCCTGGGGGGGGTCGGAGGATTTTGAGCTAAACACGATGAAGTTTAGCCGATCCCCCCTTTAAATGTTATTTTATTGAAGTGATCCCCCCTCATAACTATATATAACTTTCGTGATCCCCCCCCC